CAGCATAACCGTAGACCTTTCTGTTTCTCTACTTTTTGGTGTGATCAGAGCGTTTGTTTTTCCGTTTGATTATTGATGGAATATTTTCTTCATGTAAGTGCTTTGTCTTAGCAACTGGCTGCTTATTATTCATATTATTGCACATATTTACACCTGGAAACCACGACAGGCATCTAGTATTTGTTGCTGAGAAGCTCCACTGGGACACTTAGCGGTTCAGATTCTTGCTCAAGGCCACGGGAAGTGCAGATGTAAGGGAGTAGACGGTGCACATCATGCATTTTTAGTTCCTAGTTTTTTTTTCCCCTCACAGCCAGTTCAGAGGTCAAAACTAGCAACTTTTAATCAGGATCCTGCTGCTCTATCAGTACACTTAGATAGTAATCACCAGTATCACTGAGATCAAGATGCACTAATTAAAGTAGGAGTAATGTATGTAAACAAATCCTGGATGAAGCCCAAAATGCATGGAGAAAATATCACTCTGAACCACTTCTGTTGAATTATAATTACATTAATGTAATGCATATTGATTTTTTTTTTTACATCGGCACAAACTGTCAAGGCACAATAATGTCAAGGTACACTGGCAAGCAAACACTGACTTCGTCAGACTATTTATTGATTTTAACGAAATAAGAAGGAGAAAACTCAACTGTAATTTATACACTTGGGCGCTAATAGTGTTTTGACATGATGGGAATGGGAATTCAATTCAAATAGTACAAAATGCTCCCAGTCCAATAAGCGGTCTTAATTGTTTTTGTTCAGAATAGGGCGGTCCAATTAATTAAGCTTAATAATATTATAAGGGAAGTTTACACAATTAATACACACACTAATATTAGCATTTTGGCAATTTCTCATGTATCTTATTTCAACTGAGTTGCTTGTTGCTGTAGGAAACGCAGATGTTGATATTCAGTACTTATTTTACCCATAGCTGTGTAGATATTTGTGCAGAATTTCAGGATTTCAAAATAAAATCAAAACACTGTTAATGAAATGTGCAGCACTGGAGTTGTAAATAGACATGCTTTAGTCTCTCTTGTAGCCCAGTGCATCACTAACTGTGCCTGTATCTATCAAAATTAATTAGTTGCAATAAACCTAAAAATTAATTATGATGAAATGCAGATGGCCCCCTATTCTCAGCGCTTCCCTTACGTGGGCGTAAGGCAAGAGCTCAGCATTGCTTTAGCCCCTTTTTTTTTTTTTCAGCTTTAGTTTTCAACGAGGGGAAGTTTGCAGAGCGTGCACAGTACAGTACAGTACAGTAACACTCTGTTTCACATTCACTTCACACCTGGAAGCTTGTCAGTACGACCACTGTCTTTTATTGTTGGCCAAGGAGCAGCTCCACTCAATGAGTTTGGATTTAAAGTTAAAAAATCCACCTGAGGACTTTCTTCTCTAGTTTTATAATTTGGTGACGTTTTATTGCACACCAGGTGCAGATAGTGTTTTTGTGAGGAGTTGCAACTTACTTATTTTGTTGACCTTGCTTTCTCTATACCTGTCTTGTCTAAGTTTCCCAAAAGGACTTTCAACAACCACTAGAGACTGGGTTTTTTTTTTTGTGCTGTGTATTGAATATGAGCTAGAAGTACAGTTTTGTAACAGGAGACATTGTCATGATGTGTCATGCCTAGTTGTTCAGATAACATTAAAGCTGTCACCACCTACTACAGATCAACAAAGGTTCAAGGTATTTCTGCGCTGCACACTGCTTATTTTGGAAGTGGAAAAACCTGCATCTCCGCCTCTTCCCCCTCTGAACGTCAATATGAGATGGTGGCTCTTGAAAAAGACCTTAATGTTTGACGAAGAAACAGCAAAAGTTGGCGTTTAACTTAAAATGAATGTATTACTGTCCAACTGTGTTGTAGACGCTTGGTCAAGCTGTTTACATTTGGCCTGTTAAACGCAAGAAAAAGGAAAATATGCCACCAGACATCAAACAAAATGGGTTTAAATAAGGTTTGTCTCCGCTCAATTTTTTTCAATTTGGAATCTCTAATTTCCCACCAAAGTGGTGCATCGCGATTGTCTCTAATCTTTGGCTTTTTTTCAACGTTGAGTCCAGTAGTTTTTGTTGTTAAATAATAGTTTTAATAGTATGTAAGGCCAGTTGTGCTGTGAGTAGATTGTGTTTACATTTTCCAGCATCCCATTCAGACTAAGTCAGGTTTGATGTGGTTGTTTGGCTGAAAACAGCTGACTCGAGCTGTGTGGCCCAGGGTCTCCAAGAAGACCTCAGTGCAACAGTCACAACAGCCAATCAGTGAAGTTTAATGAAACGAGTGCACAGCTTGTCAGCGGGATTCCCACTGTTTTTGTTACACTTGTGATAAGTTACTGTACAATTCTTCCTTCACCCCGGCTGAACCCCACACATCAGCAATATTTCTTTTCCAGCATTTGTCATTGTGCTCTCGTTCTGTTTGACTGCATGTTTTTAAGCTCTACAAATCGCCAACTAAATCAGATTTCTCCAGGAATTATGTGTGAAATACTTGAGGTTGCAGATGAAAGTCGGTCGTATATGGACTTGCTATTATCACGCAGTCCAGTGTGACGGATGAATGTATGTGTTCAACCTTTTTTCAGGTGACCTGTTTTTTATTTTACAACCTAAAATGACTGGGAACACACATAATATTCAACTGTGAATGCAGTTTTTTTTTTTTTTTTTGGCCCCAAGACGTCTGTGTGTGTACATGTAGAGTGATTTTTAAGTTCAGTAGTTTTGTAAATTCGAATAGACTTTTTATGATTGTAGTACGGTCATGTGTGGTGCTGAAATGATTAGTGTTGGAGACTACTGTATGTTTTGTTGTCTGCGAGTATAATGACAACTGAATTGTATGGGATTAGTTGATCAACTTCTATTTAATTGACAAGATTCATTTTCAAGTAGTTTATTGGATAAAGCTGACTGTACATACAGGAGCTGATCACGGTTACGATTTAATTTATTGTAAATAATATTGCGATTATTTTTGGCAGATACTGATGATGATGTGATTTTTGCTGGGTTCTGTATCAAACATGTATTTTCCCTTTACATTTGGAGAATATGACTTGTAGGTGGGTGCGTCTCTGTTCCGGTGTCAGTTTTTCCTTCCTGATACTGATTCCACTACCTGAAACTGTGTATCGGCTGATACTAAGGACCGATTGTTTACCAATGCTGTATACTACTAATCCCGTGGGGTGTTGTATGTTTGCTGTCGTTGTTGTATGGTGCGGCTCAGGTTAAACAATTTGTAAAACATGAGCAGATACATGAATGCCATAGAAAAGTTCTTTTAATATCTGATTTGACTGTCGGTCATAAAAAACAAATCATTTTAGGAATAAATAATAGTCCCTACACTAGTTGTCCTGACATGAAACTAAAGCCTTGCATACTGGTGGGACTTCCCAGTGTCACATGTTGCAAGACTGCAGACGTTTTGCAAACGTTGCACTATTTACTGGAAATATTCTTCTTCTTCGCTGCTCTAAAACAGTAGTTACAAGTTGCTGCCCAGTATAACTTCGTGCGTAGGGTATTTTTTTTTTTAGAGCGGTGAAGAAGCATTGATTTCCGAGAAAACTGCTGATTTATCTGGGTGTGAAATTATAACGTGAATTGATAAATTACATGGTATTGGAACGGTGTGAAGACTTGTGTACTCACCGAGACCCGATCCATGTGTGGGTTTGACTAACGGCAATCTACAGAGTTGTAGACATTTTCCATACTTGACAACATCAGATAAATGTTTTCTTATTCTCATTAAGTCAGTCTGACGTCGTCGTCTTCAAGTTTGTTTTGGGTCAAAGTTGTAAAAACTGACATGCCCCCCCCCACCCCCCCACCCACTCTAAACGTTTACAAGGAGAACTAAAGGTGCTATAGCAGACTACGGTACTGTTTAGGTTACTAGGTCTCGTCTGCGAGTCTTCCTCCCGGTGGAAGAACAAGACTAATCACCAGCTTATTGTTTCCTATTAGTGGTTTGTTTTGGGTTGTAGCCAGCGTAAGAGCTCAGCGTCATCTACTACTACCAGCTACTGTCCCCATGATGATTTACTCTGCGTGTGTCCGCCAAGCTTGCACGCCGTCTATCATTTGGAGATCATGATCTTTGTGTAAAATGTGTTTGCTCAGTAGTGAAGTGACTCGCCTTTGTTCTCATCTGTTTACTTCTGCTCCGTGTATGTAAATGTATTGTGCATTTATTAACAAAAAATAAAGAGGCCTCTCCAAAGTGATGCTTCCAGTCCCGAGACAAAGATGGTTTTAGAGATTGTTTATGTATTTTTTATGTCACTGGTTTGACAGTTCCTGCACTCTTCATCACAGGCTTCTTTTGTTGGATGGTGATGAAGACGAGTGAAATGGATGTGTTATGTAAGCGACTGTGTTTTGACTGAGAAGGAGAGACGAGAAAACAACAAAGTAGGCCAAAAACCACCAAACAGTTTATTAACTGTGAATTAGATGTAATGAAACACGGTTAAAACGGAGGGGGGAAAAAAAGAGAGAAAGACGGCTTATATAACTGTCGCTGGTGGCCCCGAATTCTCTTTCATTCGGATTCATTTGGAACTCAGAGTTTTGAATTAAAGTTGTTTACCAAATACTTAATTCATTAATCATCATACACTTGACTTACCCTGTTCCTTTATTTTAAGTCTCTTTCCTCCCTCCCCATTTTTGTCTAGTCTGAGTTTTTTCGCATCTTCTTCTTTACTCTGTTATCCTCGTCTCATCACTGGTTCATTAACTGTTTCCTTCCTTCCTTGAACGTGCTCTGTCTCGTCTTGTCCTCGCTTCCTCATCACCTCTCTGATGTCTCTGTTAACCCATTTCCTCCTCACCTTCCCTTCAATCGTCGTACCTCACCTTTCTTTCAGATGTCTCTAATCCATTCCTCTCTTTCTAGCCTTTCAGCTCTAACTTCTCCTCTTCTGTCTCCTGCAGACCCTGTGGTGCTGGGCAGAGCGTTATGGCTCAGACGCTGCAGATGGCGATCCCTAACTTTGGCAACAACGTCCTGGAGTGTCTGAACGAACAGCGGCTGCAGGGCCTCTACTGTGATGTCTCCGTGGTCGTCAAGGGACACGCCTTCAAGGTGCGGGAAGAGTTTTAACCATTTTTGTATTTCAGGATGATTATTTGTATTCAGACTTACTGACACGTTCACATGGGAGCTGCGCACTGTGACCACAGTCTGTCGCTGGTTACTAAAAACTGGCACTGGTGAAAGAACTGCTTCATTTTTTTTCTGGAACGTTGGTCATCTTACCTGCTAGACAATAAGCCTAAAGTCACGTTGAAATCTTAAAGCTTGAGATGCATAAGTTGTTTGTGGTTTAAATAATATTTCCAACTTTATTTAGATTGGCTTTTTTTCCCAAACCAAAGAAATTAGTGGTCGAAGGAGAAGTCGAATTGAAACTGTAAAATAAAGGAATGCGTTTAAATAATTTCAGACAACATGCTTTGGTCTGATTTTGTTGCGTGCTCACTGGTCCTGTAGGACTACAGTGTTGGTGTAATTAGTTCCACAATAGAGGTATTGACAAAATTTTGCTCAGTTTAATTGGTGGGACAGGAAAATATGGTCCAGGTCAAAAATGGCCAGACTCCTGCTTTAAATAATTTCGAATAGATTTTTCCTGAGCTCCATCTGGCCACCTCTCACTAGAGACATAAATCTTTGGCTTTGCCACTGTTCAATACAGTTTCACTCCGTAAGGCCAAGAGTTGAGATTTGGCTGTGTTACAGAAGTTACTGCAACACAATGGGAAATGATTCCTCTACAGTTGGATACAATTTTGATGTGGTCAATACTTTCAGAAATAAATTACCTGCCTCTCTTGCAGTTGAAGAAAAACTCCATCAAAGTGAGATTACTGTAAATATTTGTCAGGCAGCTGAGATGAAGCCAACCTTCCGCTACATATATGTGGTTTGGGTTTACTGCACTGCACTCAAGCAACTCTGTAGATTTTAATTCTGCACACATCAGCTCCATTTCATATCTTTTTCACCCTTGTGACTTCACCTCTCGCCGCTCCTCACCCTCTCAGGCCCACCGCGCAGTTCTGGCAGCCAGCAGCTCCTACTTCCGGGATCTGTTCAACGCCGGGGGGAAGAGCTCGGTGGTGGAGCTGCCCCCGGCCGTGCAGCCGCAGAGCTTCCAGCAGATCCTGGCCTTCTGCTACACAGGACGCCTCAGCATGAACGTTGGAGACCAGTTCCTGCTCATGTACACCGCCGGCTTCCTCCAGATCCAGCAGATCATGGAGAAGGGCACAGAGTTTTTCCTCAAGGTAGAAATTAGCCGACGAAGCTTTGATGTACAGTGATTAATGAATCCAGATGTAGGAGTGTTGGTAAAGAGGTCATAAGTACATTAGCACTAATGTAGCACTAATTTCTACATATTAGAAATCCTGTAAATCGTAATCATGGAGAGAGAATCTGCCAGACATGAGTATGATTACATTTTTTGTGCTGCCACCATGGCACCTGTTGTGTGTGACATTATGCGTGGCGTTATGTTGTCATGGGGGTGTCTGTGTTTGTAGATCTGATTACATTTGGAGTGCCTTGCTGCATAAATCTGCATATTAATGAGAGAAACTGATTTCCTTGAATGTAGCCTTTCATACCCCCAGACACAGAGTTAAGATGATAAAAGCCACGAATTACACGAAGCATCTGAGGGGAAAAATACAGGATCTGCTACTGGAGCATGAATTAAGTTGCTGCTGGTCTTAAAATGTTATTTATCAGACATGGTGGTGTTTTTTACTCCACCAGCGACCTTGGCAAGCCACCAAAGAATTTTAGTAATCTGAGTTTGATACTAAAAATCAGCTCGTAGCGTAATAAAAGAGGTTAAATTTGTACAGACGAATGTTTGAGCTGCTGGGTTGGGTTAGGTACCATTTGAGAAATGACTAATTTAGCTGCTGTTTTCCAAATAATAAATGAATAAGTTAGTCAGAAAATAGCACCCCATTGTGACGCAACACCCTCAAATGAACAAAATATATTTAATTTACATTCATATTAAAGAGAAAAGCAGCAAATTCTGACATTTGAGAAGCTGCAACCAAATTTTCTTTAAAAATATTTTGCTTTAAATAATTATCAGCTAATAAAGCTATGGTAATTATCAGCTTTTTATGTTTAAATTAAATAATTTAAACATAAAAAGCCTCATGTGTTGCTAGCAGGTGTACAGTAACTTTACCTGTGTACCTGTGCAAATGTTGATTGAATTTAGGAGCTGAATATTCCACATTTTGGTGCAGTTTTCTGTTCTTAATGCTACAGACACGTTTCAGTCGATACCAAACCTATATTGAGGTTTAATATCCAGCTGTACTTAGGAGGAGGTTTATGACATTTTAAACGTGCATGAATCTGAGAAGTTGTGAAATTACGTTTATGTTCATTGGTAATTGTATGAAACAAAAGTTTGATCCTTCTTTATGTCACCACACCTGCAGGTCTCATCTCCAAGCTGTGACTCCCAGGGTCTCCACACTGAGGAGACCCCGCCCTCTGAGCCTCAGAGTCCCGTCACTCAAACGGTGGGAGGGGGCGGAGTCGGCGTGGTCGCCACAGCCGCGGGAAGGCCTTCCTCTTGCCTGACGCCCCTCCCCCTGGTGTCCAAAGTGAAGACAGAACAGACAGCGAGCACACCTCAGCCCGCCCCGCAGCCACAGCAGGTAGGCTCCGTCTTCTGATGCCTTCCAAAGCAGTCGCCAAAGTGTCGCTTTGGTGCAGTAATTAACAGCTCTGAGGTGTGAAGTGGCCTGAGAAGAGAATCAATCATTATTCGCTCTTAACGTCATTTGAAGCAGAGCATCATGAGTAGGTGTTTCATTGAGTTTGAGATTTGAAAAGGCTTTAATAGACTTTCAAGGCGAGCCTGCTCCCAGTACCTCAAGTGACAAAAAAAGCCATTTACTTGTTGCAGCTGGAAAGCTTACTCATAAAACTCGATACATCCATACTTTTTGATGATCATAGCCTGAAGGTTAGTTCTGAAATATAGCATAAACAGCCATAATCTTTCTTTCTTTTTTTTCAGGCGAGGAAATAAATAATGTTGCAGGTCAGAGGTTATTTAAATTGTGTTCATTCAACCACTTTATAGGAGCTTTAAACGGAGGAGGTGAAGAGCCTCAATACTGACAGAAGAGTATGGTTTGTTTTGATCATATTTTCCATCCATATTAATTAGCGGTTGATGTTAAAGTAGCTCAAAATTGTAGAGATGATTTGATGTTGCATAATTGTGGCTTAATTCAAACATCAGAATGACTTTTTCATGTTCTATTTTTTTGAGTTTCTATTGAAAATAAAGGCGAGCCAGAATCTGTTCAAGAAATGTACTGTACCTTTCAATAGCTCTTTTTACCTGATTTAATACAGCATGCGTTTTCATTAAAACTTGAGCTTTCAGTGGTGCTTCTATTAATCAAGTATTCTGAAAGTTTGATTTTAACTTGCACTTACTCAAACAGTGGATAGAGCATTGTAAATCTTTATATATAAGAAAATCTATGCGTGGATTGAGTCTAGTTAAAATGCAGGTAAAAGAGAAACTGGAGAAACCTGTGTCTTGTAATTTACCTCAGAGGAAAGCATCTGTTGGCTGCTCAAAAATAGATGCCATGTGATATCAGGTGCTAATCTGCATATCAGTGTATTCACTACACAGGAAGAGGCAGTGTGATCATCATGTACGTTTGATTTAGATGAGCACATAGCATCAGATGTACAGATTTCCCGCTGTTTTCAGTAGATTTGTTACTTTTAAAAAATCTGAAATCTTGTTAAAACTGATCACGATGACACAGGCTTTCGTTTTTCCTTTATTTTTGATTTGCTTGCCGTTAGAGAAGCTGTATTTTAATGAGACGTTTCAAGCGTTTCTGAGTCAGAAAGGTAGAAAATACTGGAGAGAGCTTCTTTAACCAGATGCTGCAATTTAGCAAGTGAGCTTAGCATTGAATATCAACAACTTTTCAGGTGACATCTGAGCAGAATCGAACAGTTCCTGACGCGTCTCCTCTCATGATCAGTCCAACTACTCAGTCATTGTATGAACATGTGGCTCCTCTCTCAGATACATGCTTGAATTGTTGCCTCTGTTTGTTTTTTACGTGAAGACTAAAGGAGCTATTTGTTAGTTATGCTATTGCTACGTGGCTAACGTTAGCATTAACAGCTGTTTACTTACCAGTCTAGAAGAAACGTGAATTCAGCATCAAACTCCGCCAGAGGCAGGGAGCAACGTCAATGCTGATGTTTTATCTTTTCTTCTGACGTTAACACGCTAACCAGCTAGCCCCGGCCTGTCTTGTCACTTTCTGATAGCAACTCAAAGCTGCCCTGAAGATGTAGCGCCGCTCAGAGGACGTGTAACCTCTTGTATTATAAAGACGACGATGAAGCTCTTGCCAAGAGACAGTCGCCACCTCCGCTCCTGCTGCATTCGGTGGCAGGGAAAACTTATATTATATTTTCTGTTTGTTGATTGTAAGTTGTTAGTAATGACCTGGAATCTCTCTCCTCCGCAGCAGGAGAGCTCTCCCTACTCGGTGGTCTGCACCCCTGTGGCCAAGCGGCTGTGGGAAGGGGGCAACCGTGACGGGGGAGGGGGGTCTGGAGGGGGCGGAGGAGGTGGGATGAGGAAGGCTGCGCGCTACTCCTCCTCCTCCTCTTCCTCCTCCACCTCCTCCAACAACACTACCCATGATGCCTCTGGGCGTGGACTTGCAGCCAACGCCGCCATGGTGGGTGGCGGCGGCGGCGGCGCCACTTCGGTGGGAGGAGTCGGACTCAACAGTAACCACAACAACAATAACAACAACAACGGCGGGACCCCCGAGGGCACGAGCCCGGGCACCCTGAGCATGTACACCAGCGACTCGCCCATCAGTTACCACGACGACGAGGAGGAGGACGACATAGCGGACGAGAGCGCCGAGGAGCAGTACAGACAGATCTGCAACATGTACACCATGTACAGCATGCTGAACGCCGGCGCAGCAGGTGAGCTCTGACAGCAGACGAGTTCAGCTCGAGGTTACTGTGTTTTCATGTGGATCTCAAAGTTTCTGTCGTCTGATCTCTGGAAACCTTTCACCGTCGCGTGTTCACAAATACGAATCCTGCAGACGTTGTTTATCCAAAACTTTTTCAGAGGAAAGGAAATGTTCAAAACACCGAAACCACTGGAAGTTGTGGATCCGTCCTTTATTTTTTTTATTTTTTTTTTTTAAGCTTACGGATTGTTTCAGTTTAATTATTCAAAGGTTTTCGGAATTAAATATGGCGATAAAGTTTATTCAAAATACAGGAGAGATGGGCCTTAAGATGAACAGTGTCATCAAATTTCTTGGAATTCAAATAGTTTTGTTTTACCTGTTGTTTTGATCTAAAGGTCATAGGTTGAAAGGTGTTTTTAAGTCTGTCGTCCAGGTTGAGCTATCTCCATTGACCTACAACAGAAATGCTCAGAGTCTGATATCCAGCCATTCTCTGATTTCTACTTAATAAAGAATGAATAAAACACTTTGAGATATAAACCAGAGGAGTTTAATGCGTTGAATCGAGGCAGAGGAACATCCAGTGCAAAGTGGAGTGTAATTGTCTCTGTGTTACAGTCCATTAAACACACACTTTGGACTGAACTATCTCATTCACACCATGGTTACATACTCAAAAATGTTTTCATTGAATATTTTGATTAATATTTATTTAATCATTTATTAAATATTTCTGAAGCAAAAGTTAATAGGGCTTTGGCTGGAGGGCTTTAAAAAAAAAAATCTTTTTATTGTTTGCTTCTGTGCACTAATTGACATTGGTAATTAATTTTCTCATCAACATATGGATTCATAACAGTAATTTAATTTGAGCTGAACTCCACTATGTGTGCATTTAAATTGTCCTAATGTGCACAGAGGCAGGTATTCCCCCGAGAACATGGTGTAATTATCTGTTAAAGAGGTACTGGAGTATTTGGTAATTGAGAATTATTTTTTTTATTTTTTTTTTATTGATCAGAATCAAACTGTGAAGTACCAGGAAGTGAATTTTTGTTCTTTTTTTAATTGATTTAAATCATAATTTTGCAAATTTTAATGTTTTATTTAGTTTTTTTTTGTGTGAATAGTTTTAACATTCGGCATCTTTTCCTAAATGAACAAAAAGAAAACACATTCATGGTCCTCAGTAAGATTTTGTATCCACTGTGAAACTGTGGCACTGGTGTTGTCAAATTTCAAACCCAGCCCTGAACGTAACACTGATCTACCATCCTCCCTCCCCAGTGGTCGGGGAGAGGGTGGAGGCTCTGCCGGACTTGGCCCCAGACTCCGGCGGCGGACGGGGAGGCAGGGGGGCGCGGTCCCGGCAGGACCTGGCGTCGCTGCCTGCCGAGCTCATCAGCCAGATCGGGAACCGCTGCCACCCGAAGCTGTACGAGGAGGGCGACCCGGCCGAGAAGCTGGAGCTGGTGAGCGGCACCTCCGTGTTCATCTCCCGCGCCCAGCTCATGAACTGCCACGTCAGCGCCGGCACCCGCCACAAAGTGCTGCTCAGACGCCTGCTGGCCGCGTTCTTCGACAGGTCAGTGTCCGACACGCTTCGGCCGACCAAGCGATTGGCTTGTGAATCGTTGTGTAGTAAAGCCAGAGAACTGTACGTGCTTGTGCAGTCTGTGAGCAGCGGGAACATGGACGTACAGTATATTCCTGATGAAGCCTCACGCTGTTGGATCCAGTGCAACTGATAACTGAGGCTTGATGCGTTGAATGCTTGACGATGGAGTCATTTATAATTAAAGATGATCTTAAAAGTGGTCGATATGTGTTCCAAGTCCTAGTCATCCAACTGGGCTGCCTGGTTGTGGAGCGTAAACTTAACACCAGAACTAGATTTATTCACTTATTTTCTAACAGACATTTTGAAATTCATAGATTGGGAGAAGGCGGATGAAAATAAATGGTGATTTCATGGTGGTTTCAGCCAGTTAAATGAAGTGTAAATTATCACAGACAAGTCAAGAAGTACATTTTATTTGTCTCTCTGTCGTGTTGCGCACAACTTGTTCTCACTTTGACAGCAGAAAACAGGAATAATAAACGTCAAGGTTTGAAAATACAGAAAGACACACAAAGCTGAGTTACCAAAGTTTGTCACAAGCAGCGTGTGGGATTCACTGAACACCACAGACCTGAGCTGGAAACCTGTGTAAGTGTCTTTGCCTTCAGTCTGACTTGTGGACTGCGGTTTGCTGAGTGTCGGTGTGAGTGTGTCTCAGGGGGCTGGTAGCTCAGGGGCAGAGGGACAGACTGAGGATTGAAGGATGGATGAAACGCTTCTGTTAGAAACCACCCCGTCACTGGTGAGGATCGCTGTCTGTGTTGTTGGCTGCAGGCGGAAACAGATGTGTGAAGGTTGACACCATGAACTAAAATACATGATAGTTGCTATGGCATGACACTTGTGCTATAAATGAAGCTCAGTGTGTATGCCGTTAGTGTGTTTTTGGGTGCAGGGCTGCGACTAATATTTTTATCATCAATTCATCGTTTAATCTATGAAACATCACAAATTGTGAAAAAACGTCCCATGAGCTGAAGGGTTAGACGTCTTCAAACGGCTTCTCATGTTTGATCCAAAATATATATATATATATATATATTTATATATACATCTGAATATATTTAATTTACAATAATGTAAGAACAAGAAAAGCAGTCAATTCTCACATTTGAAAATTTGGATCTTGAATGCAACTAACTTCTGTATCTCAGCCTGCACTTCAGCATGTCCTGTAGTTGCCTTTGTTTCCCAAAAGATTCTGTTTATAAAATAAAATGTAAAGATTTTCTGATGTTTACATTAAATCTGTTGTTGATGGGATGTTTGGGGTGTTTTTCGTTGTGTAGGAGCACTCTGGCAAACAGCTGTGGGACTGGTATCCGCTCTTCTACCAACGACCCGAGTCGTAAACCGCTGGACAACAGAGTCCTGCACGCTGTCAAATGTGAGACACACACACACACACACACACACACACACACACACACACACACACACACACACACACACACACACACACACACACACACATATACATCTCAGTGAGAATTTGCCAGCTGCAGCTTTGAAACCTCCTCACCGTCTTTTCTTCTTCTACTTCTTCTTTCATGTTTTTTTTTTTTTTTTACCTTTCTCTCTCCTTTTTTCTCCTCTCTTCCCTCCTCCAGTTTACTGCCAGAATTTCGCACCAAGCTTTAAAGAGAGCGAGATGAACGCCATTGCGGCCGACATGTGCACCAACGCCCGTCGCGTCGTCCGCAAGAGCTGGATCCCCAAGCTTAAACTGCTGATGGCCGACAGCGACGCCTACTCCGCCTTCCTGGCCGACAGCGTGAAGATGGAGGCAGACGCACTGGGGGCAGATCAAGGCTTTGACCCTGCCTCCCTGGAAGCTGTGGCGGCAGCGGCGGCAGCGGCCGCCAACAGTAACGAAGGGGGAGGCGGAGCCACGCCAGCAGAGACCCTCCACGGGGCGGGAGGAGACGGCAGCACTTTGTTTTGAGTGAGTGAACGGACAGATAGATGAATGGACAGATGGACAGATTGATGGAGGGAGGGATGGCATTTCTCTGGTGGGCGATGAGTAGAGAACGGTGGCCACTGTGGTCGTAATGACAGTTGTCACGCCATCCCCTAGCCGCCATGCGTTTGGGGATCTGTTTCTTCTTCTGCACCTCTTTCGGTCAGTTTGTTCTGCTTTCCTTCCTCCGTTTGTCCATGTCTTCAGTCTCTCTCCACGGCCCAGAATGCCTCATTTCGCTCCGTTTCTCCTTCCTTGTTCCGGTGGAGAGAGATAGAAAGACGGCAGAGACAGAAAGGTGGCAGAGGGAGGAGGCCGACCCCCCACCCCCAACCCCCCCCCCACCTCCTCCATCCCTCTGCAACCTTTTCGAACCTTGATAGTTTCAGCGCTTTTACTTTTTATTTGTTTTTGTAGAAGTGTGTCCTGTCACTAAGGCCCCTTTTCTTACACTAATCAATCACAGACCATTCCCAGGGTAGGGGGGGGCGGGAGGGTAATCCTGTTTTGAGAAAGTGATATCTCCTTTCCCAAACTCCAGTAACACTGTTGTTTTGATATTGAATGTATGCGTGGCGAACTGCAGCGTTCAGTGGAGGCTGAGTGAGATTGTACAGAGCCCTTTCTTTTTTTTTTCATTATTTTTTATTTGTCTTTTTTTGTTTTGTTTTGTTTATTTGGGATTTTTTTTATTTTTTTTTTTGCTTTACTTCATCTGGACGGCCAGATGGAAAGCTTCTCTGAAAGCGTGGGGTTAATGAGGTCGGGGGTTGAAATGAATATTAATATGTATATCGGCATTGGTTTATGATCTCCCCTGACCTCGGCCCGACCCCACCTTACCCTGCTCTTTATCTCCTGCCGGGCATGCTGGGAAACTGATTCACCAGCCGTGAGAGAAATGCTGCTGAATTCTGACTGCGGACAGCATTTTGATTCGTTAGTGGCTGGATTCGTCAGCCAGACTAAAACAGAACAAAAAAAGATTTGCTTGACTAAAACCTTCCCCCCCCCCCCTGACCCCCCCCGGACTTTTTGACCCTTAGATGAAAAAAAAAAAAAAAACATTTCAGTTTGTTTACTTTTTCTGTGTCTTTTAAATTTTTCCTTTGTGTGGTTGTTTTTGCCAAGGCTCCTTGTTAACCGATGATTGTCAAAGAGTTTGCACTGTGTTATTTCCTGCGGTATGAGTACAATCGAACTACGTTTTTGTACGTACAAGAAAGAGAATAGGGGTGGTTTTATTTAAAAAATGACAAAAAAAAAGAAGAAAAAATACCAGCTAAAATCCAATTTCTATCTCTGTTTATCACCCGTTTTTTTTTTTTTTTGTTTGTTTTGTTTTTTTTAATCTGAAGGAAAGTCAAGAAATATCCAAAAGCAAGTTTCTGCCTGTGAGCTTAGGAACGAGCTGTGTGTGTGTGTGTGTGTGTGTGTGGATACAGTGGCAATGTTCTTTTGTTTCCAACTCGTGTTTATATTGTTTTCCCTCAGATTATTCACAGCCATGCCCGTTAACAGCACAAGTTTCCTCAGGCTCGCTGCCTGGATGCGTGCTCGCCTGGCATGGACAAAGGTGCTAATTCAAGCATTGGTACATGGCAAGAAATACAGCTGTGTGTGTGTGTGTGTGTGTGTGTGTAGGTGTGTATTTGAGGGGCCACACAGTTTGTTTGTGTGCTGCAATAGAGAGAGAGAGAGAGAGAGAGAGAGAGAGGGGGAGAGGCCAGACGGCGTGTTTTCACACACGCTTGGTCGATTAATTCACCCATCACTGCGGTGAGCACACATACACGCTAATACGCATTTGGGCGCTGTCAGCTGCATCAGCTACAGTACACCAGAGCAACGTGGGAATTAAAGGGGAATTACACCGAGGCAGACCTGAGAGGCTGCTGCTTTTCATCACGTGTGAACAATCAGCTAAAAGTAATTTTGCGTATTAATGAGGCCGCGTTAAGATCTGATGGAAAAGGTAAAGTTTGACTTTTCTTTTTTTTGTTGGATTGACGTCGAAGTTACTGCATTTACGGGAGTTATTCTGAATTGTAAAGAGAAAAGTGGCCAAATAATTTGGCATTGGAAACGACCCTGAAAGTCACATTGCAGTCATAGTGGCCTTTTGTAGAGAAAAGACCAAGTGCAGAACGAGATCTGTTCTCTTTAACAAAGAAATGACCTCCAGACTCCACAATGCAGCTGAATCCACTCATCAGCTAAAGCCAGGAGAGGGCTCTTTGCTCTTGTTCAGTTCGAGGTCGAGGTTGAACACCTGGGCTCCAGGTTGAACGTCTCTGTTTGTTACCACTGATATTTCAGTCCTCAACAGCATTGTGCTGTTTTCAAATGGATATTCGAATCTCCCATACGGCAGATTCAAGCTTTAGTGAGAGCTGAAGTCTTTTAATCATGAAAAATCACTTCCAGACAATCAATATAAAGCCAGCCAGATCTGACACATCTGTCTGTTTGACACTAGAGAATGAAAAGGCCTGATGAAAAGGAGGAGTGTGAATAACACGGAGGCAAAGTTAGCCAGCGGTAAATGTATGTGCCCTTAAACAGATTTGATCAATGGCCCGGACGAAGTAAAACTAAGAATAGTTTGTCCAACAGAACGTGTGGCACAAATTTCAGCTCCTCTTTTTAGGCTAATGACTGATTTATGTTAATTACATCCAGGCCACAAAAGGGCAGTTTATTGCCTCACGCCAAAGTGTGAGAGCTCGCCGGCTTTGTGCATTTGTCCTGTTTTTTAAAGTGTGAACAGGTCAAGCAGTTGAACTCAAATATGGCGGCTGCCGCTGTGAAGCCTCTAAATTGTCATATGAAAAGAAGATTTCATCTCACTAATTAATTTAAAGACGGGGACGTTGGACTCAGCTTGATCTGCTCAGCTGGTCCTGAAATAAACTGCTGAAGCTATTGACGACATACAAACCAGAGCTGATCAGTTACACTAGTGTGACACTTGAATGGATATGCTATAGTAATCCAGCATGATGTAATTTACTGTACGTTATGAAGAAACTGACGATATGCAAGCCGCCATTTTGGTTTTTAAAAAAAGGACATTTAAAATGAAAAAGATCTAACTTTAATTGAAAGTTTTATTCATCATTGTGTAAATGGACACATATAAATATGACATTTTGGTGAAGGAAAAATATGAAGTGGCACCAACTGAAAGTTTCTCTCTGGAGCCCTGAGTTTTGAGCTCTGAGCAATTATCATCAAAATGATCAGTTTTTATAACCAGCGAACTCCTGAAGAGAGTGTGTGTCTGCTGTGGTGTGTGTTCGGTCAGTAGACGAAGTGAAATGTCACGCGTCAGCTGTAGGAGGCAGCGGTTCGCCTTTACTGTCAAATGTGCCATCCTGATTAAAAACGGGAACGCGTGGTATGTTTTTAATTTGAAAGATAATCCAGCTGTTACACCATGAGCTGCTCACAGCCCCATTTTCAAACATCTAATTTCCACTGTGTTTATGTACCACTGTGTTAAATATAAAATACCAGAACCTTATTGGTACATTGGATTTCTGTTGCTATGGAATCCCCAGTGAGAAAAACATCATATTCTGTCAAAAAAAACATATTATAGACTTGCTTTATTGTTATTTAGACATTTCTGACACAAGTGACATTTTTTAGTTTTTCTTTTATGAATATTTGGCCTGTTCTTCCTTTTTAAAGTGAGAAGAAACCACAAGCACCTTATTGCCAGTGTGGCAGCAGAAGTGGAACTGTTTAATGTCACTGTTACAGGTTTATAATGATGTTTGGACTCCCACGCACACACACACACACACATGCACACATGCACGCACGCACGCACAGACCC